CCCTAAATCACCCCCGACTTCTGGAACAGCGTCCCGTCCAGGGCCACCGTCTGTGGGGACATTGGGGTGACATTGGGGACATCCTAAATCACCCCCGACTTCTGGAACAGCGTCCCGTCCAGGGCCACCGTCTGTGGGGACATCATTGGGGACATTGGGGACATTGGGGACACCCTAAATCACCCCCGACTTCTGGAACAGCGTCCCGTCCAGGGCCACCGTCTGTGGGGACATTGAGGGGACATTGGGGACATCCTAAATCACCCCTGACTTCTGGAACAGCGTCCCGTCCAGGGCCACCGTCTGTGGGGACAGTGGGGACATTGAGGGGACATTGGGGACATCCTAAATCACTCCCAACTTCTGGAACAGCGTCCCGTCCAGGGCCACCGTCTGTGGGGACAGTGGGGACATCATTGGGGACATCCTAAATCACCCCCGACTTCTGGAACAGGGTCCCGTCCAGGGCCACCGTCTGTGGGGACATTGAGGACACTGAGGGGACATTGGGGACACCCTAAATCACCCCCGACTTCTGGAACAGCGTCCCGTCCAGGGCCACCGTCTGTGGGGACATTGAGGGGACATTGGGGATATCAGGGACAGGGACACCGCCCGAGATCACCCCTGACTTCTGGAACAGCGTCCTGTCCAGGGCCACCGTCTGTGGGGACAGTGGGGACATTGAGGGGACACTGGGGACATCCTAAATCACCCCCGACTTCTGGAATAGGGTCCCGTCCAGGGCCACCGTCTGTGGGGACATTGGGGACATTGAGGGGACACTGAGGGGACATTGGGGACACCCTAAATCACCCCCGTATTCGGGTGGTTTTGGGATGTTTTTGGGATATTTTGGGGAGGTTTTGCAATATATTTTTGGGATATTTTTTGGATATTATTGAGATGCTTTTGGGATATTTTTGGGATGATTTTGGGCTGTTTTTCGGGTATTTTTTGGGGTGATATTGTTCCTCTGGTGGCCCCCAAAGGCGATGGGGTTTGAGACATTTTTGAGATATTTCGGTGATATTTTGGGGATATTTCTGGAACATTTTTGCAATGTTCTTGGGATATTTTTTGGATGTTTCTGGGCTATTTTGGGGGGTGTTTTTGGGGTGACCTTGTGCCTCTGGTGGCCCCCGAAGGCGATGGGGTTTGAGATATTTCGGTGATATTTTGGGGATATTTTTTGAACATTTTTGCGATGTTTTTGGGATATTTTTTTGATGTTTCTGGGCTATCTTTGGGGTGTTTTTGGGGTGACCTTGTGCCTCTGGTGGCCCCCGAAGGCGATGGGGTTTGAGATATTTCAGTGATATTTTGGGGATATTTTTTGAACATTTTTGTGATGTTTCTGGGATATTTTTGGGATGTTTCTGGGATATTTTTGGGGTGTTTTTAGGGTGACCTTGTGCCTCTGGTAGCCCCCAAAGGTGATGGGGTTTAAGATATTTTGGTAATATTTTTGGAATATTTTTGGAACATTTTTGCGATATTTTTGGGATATTTCTGGGATATTTTTTGGATGTTTCTGKGCTATTTTTGGGGTGTTTTTGGGGTGACCTTGTGCCTCTGGTGGCCCCCGAAGGCGATCCTGCGGGCGTCCTCCACGTTGTCGCAGACCAGCGCGTTCCCGCAGGCGAACTGCAGCGCCTTCTTGATGTGGGGCGGCTCGTAACGGATCACATCGATCACCAGCTTGGCCCCACGCAGCTCCCGCAGCTTCTCATCTGTGGGTTTGACCTGAAATCCCAAAAATTCGGGGGTTTAGAACCCAAAAATGGGCTCCAAACACCCCCACAGCTTCTCGTCAGTCAGTGTGACCTGAAATCCCAAAAATTCGGGGCTTTAGAACCCAAAAATGGGGTCAGAACCACCCACGCAGCTCCTGCAGCTCCTTGTCGATTGGTTTGACCTGAAATCCCAAAAATTCGGGGGTTTAGAACCCAAAAATGGGGCCAAAACCTCAAAAATGGAGCCAGGCT